AACTATGTGTCATCTGCTGTGTTCTCTTTCAGCTCAGGCTATTAGCATAAATGTAAGAAAACAGGGGTRGGAGCGAGAAGGTGGAACCACGAGGCATCCCAAACCCCCCCTCCTCCGCTTTGCTTTTCGTCTTCAGCGCCCCGTTTCTTGACATTGTGATTCAGTGAGCGACGTGCTCATCAGCCCCCATCAGTCCTGTTGGCGGCGGCCGAGGCAGACACGCGGTACCTGTTAAAGTAGAGCAGGGGAGGCAGCTGTGAAAGCTTGTTGCTCGGCTGTAGCTTAAAATGAAACCAGAGTTGGAAAGGATTTTAAGGATTACTCATCACAAGTCAAGGCTGCTTCAGAAATATCCCATCATTAAAAGCAGAAATAGGCAAAACATGAAAAAAAGTGGACATACTTTACCAGTCCCTGTAGACGGAGTGCAAGAACACACAGTTGTTCAAAACGCAAACTATCTAAGATCCAAACGGATCAACGGAAACAGAATTAGCTTCTAGTTCACCCCCCATTTGGTCTGTGGCTCATCCAAACCTAGAAGCCCATGTTTCTCCATCGTTGTGCCTCTCCAGTCAAATCTGCCTCAATTATTCAAACATACAACAAAGCAACTCAATTACAGCAGGCCATTAAAGACAAAACACCATGTTTGAACAAAAAACAAACAGCAAACAAATTGCTGCGTTTGCACCAAAGCAATATCAGAATGCATTTTTTTTGTTGTTTTTGTAGCATAAGGCAGATTGATGGCAGCTTCTAACAGCCTTAGACATGACTTTTCTACAGCCCTTTTCTTCTCCATCATTTAACATCTGCTCTGCTTGGATCACTAATGCTGAATGCCGGTGGTGGAAATGCAGGGTAGATGTACTAAACTGACTGATCCGTTWTCCCATTGTCCAATGCTTTCATCCACCACAGCATTTTTTTTGCACAAAGGGAATCAGTGATCAATCATTAATATTCATCAGCTCAGACTGAAGTGCAAGATTGMAAGCTCTGACAGTGACACAAACAGAAAAAAATAAAAACATGCTTTGATTACTGATTCTGCAAAATAATAAAAAAATAAAGAGAAAAAAGAACGTCTGTTATGAGAAACATTAAGATTTATCCGTCTTAAGACAACCGTTTCAGAGGATTCTCAACACGAGGGGAGAGTGTATAGCATCAGATTGGTGTTACAATAGAAGACTGCTGGTGTTTGTATTCTCTTATTCTCTTGGCTGTGCTCCTTCCACAAACTGAAGTCACTTCAAGGGTGGACTTTTTTTGAAACACCTAAATATTGTATTTTTTCCTTTTTTTCATCTTTTCCATTTAGGTTGTTTATTCAGGTGAAACCAATAAACAATCCCAAAGGAATTTAATTGTTTCATTCTGACATAAAATCAGGTGAACCCCCCCTCACACACAAGCTCACACTCCCCCTTTGTGTATTTTGTATTTATTGAAGTKGGTATTTTCTGAACTGAAATTTTCCTTCCTGGGTTTTAATTGTTTTGCCATATATATATATATAT